GTCACGAAAGGTGCACTCCACTTCCCGCACGTGCAGATGACTTGCCAAACCAGGAATTTTTTCGCAAATTTGGACATCTTCTGAGTGCGGACATGCTCCGGAACGCTGAACTTATCCTTGGCCGTGAAAAACAGGTTGCCGGGGATCTGTTTGAAGTCGGCCTTCACATATGTTTCGTCGTCCATGATGCAGCATTCAACTTTCGTCAGCATGTTGAGGTACAACTTCCTGGTACGGGTTTTGGCATACTTGTTCTCCTTCTCGTCGCGATTAGGGGCCTTTTGTACCTTGAACGTTCGAAGCCCAGCCTTAGTTTTGGCCTTCTGGACAAAACTTCGGATTAGGTGCAGCTTCTTAGCCACATCCCTAACGGAGGCGTTCGGATTTCGGTTGAAGGCCCCAACTACGCGGTTGTGATTTTTGGTGTTGTACGGAATACTTTTTTCTTCACTTCTGGGCTTCCGATCGGTAGTCAACCGTTCCTCGAACCGCTTAATCACTCGCGACACCGTGGAATTCGCGATTCCCAACGTTTTAGCGATGGAACGATGCGAGAGATCCTTGTTCTCGTGATGAATGCGCAAGATTTTATCACGCACGAGCTGTTCTTTCGACTCCATTTCCGCGAGTTTTGATCACAGGACTTTAAAACTTGCAGGATGTAAATAATGCACTATGAACTAAATCCACCCAAATTTTCATTAAATTCTACCCAACGGTTAAAAAGTTAGAGCAATTTCATAGTGTGGCAATTTCATCGTGGACACCCTTTACTTACTTACTTACTTACTTACTTACTTACTTACTCGTAGCGTCTCCCAATTGCTAATTGGCAAAGTTTACGGTTAGAACCAGGGCGCAATCTAATCGCCTGCGATCCTCTAACTTTTGTTCTTGATTAATGAAAGCATCCATGGCAAATGCTTTCGCTTTAGTTAGTCTTACGGAAGGTCTACGAATTACACCTCTCGCGCCGTAATACTAATGCCCCCAACTACTTCTGTTAATCATTACCTCTTGATCTGGATTACAAACCAATGAATATTAAGACCGAGGTCATATTCCATTATTCCATGCAAGATTATTCTCGGCCGTAGGATAGCCTGCTTAGAGGACTCTAATTTGTTCAAGGTAATAGCAGCTGGGCTTGTGGAGAATACACTGCACCCGATGAAAGAGATTTATTTATTTATTTATTTGTTTATTTATTTATTTATTTATTTATTTATTTATTTATTTATTTATTTATTTATTTATTTATTTATTTATTTATTTATTTATTTATTTATTTATTTATTTATTTATTTATTATTCATTTATTTATTTAGTCACTTATTTATTTATTTACTTATTTATTTATTTATTTATTTATTTATTTATTTATTTATTTATTTATTCATTTATTCATTTATTTATTTATTTACACTCCCGAGCATAAGTATAAGGACACCCCCAAAAAAACATGACAAATTTATTATGTTCATATCTCTGTCATGTTACGTCCAATTTTCGTTCTCTTTAGATCATTTGAATGGTATTGAATGGAACTTTCATCGTAGGCAAATTGTTCAATATAATTTTCAATTTTTGTGTGCTAAAGTTACAATATATATGAAGAATCGTGACTGATTTTCTCAGAATTGGGTTGGCAAAATTTTGAAATAAAAGTAGTAGTAGAACACTTAGAGATCGTCCATTAATTATGTCGAACTTTTAGGGGGGTGGGGGGGTGGCGTTGGAAACTGTGACGAGCCTTACAAAAAACAAATAAGGTCCATATAAAAAATGTGACAAAAGGGGGAGGGGGGTTGAAAATGGGCCATGATTAATGGACCTTCCCTTATGCTATACCATTCATACCATTCAAATAACCTTTGGAGATCGAAAATTGAACAAAACATATTTGCATAGTTTTTTGGGGTTTCCTTAAACTTATCATCGGTATAGTGTATTTATTTATTTATTGAGTCTTTATTTAATTATTTCATTATTTAATTATTCATCTCACTGTTGTCATGAAATATCTCAAAAACTATACCATTCATGTATTATAATTCAAGTCAAAAAGCGAGCAAAAGGTTCCCCAAATTCCAACAATTCTTCAACAGCCGTGAACGTACCCATCATAGTAGTTAGTGATTCGTTGTAACCGAATGTTGTTCGATGGTATCGTGGTTGGTGTAGGGTACCACTTCGTAATGTAAGAAGACCATGCAGTCAACATCCCCATTCAATAACTTGGCAACAAATGCTGCCTGTTGATTCTTCCGTCGAACGCCTAGATCGCTAAACTGGTCGGTTCTTTATAGTATAACACCGTTGATGGCATAATCTAAAATAATCGGCTGCTTGATGCGGTAAATTGACATTACCATGAATTTCGGTAAGCCTATTCCGATTGCACCAACCAACGAATAGATCCAATAGCAATTGAAGACGAATACAATCCTCAATACGTACGCAAAGTTTAAGGAAATTATTTGGCCTTTTCGTTAAAAATATGTTCAAGATTGGACACTCACGAATAACATCTCAAAAGGGTGAAAAATTATGCTATAAGTGAATTTTAACCTACGAGTATCTCGAAAATAACAACGTTGGGCAATTTTAAGCACCAAGAACTTTTTTGTTGTAAATTTAATATGTTTTAATAATAACACCATTTCAAAGATATCCGACAACAATAATTCAAACTTTTTGTTCATGAATTGTCCAGTAAATACACATGGTCAGTAGGTATCACTTAATCTAAACTACAATATAAAAATAAAAAAAAAAAAAATGCAATGTGAGTAATTTTATGTTTTTTTTATAATTTTTTTTTTGTAATAAAAAAATAATTTTTTACAGTGCATATTTTTTCTTGAAAGGCACAATACTTGTCCGCAACTTCACGGAAGACATTATCTAAATCAAACAAATCGTTCACGAAATATATGTTTTTCTATTGATGCGTATCATTTTTGCATAATCCCTTTCAAGTGTTAATGGTGCACAAAACTAGGGAATCAAATATGTGAAATGACTTGTTGGACAGTAATAAACCACTGTATAAAATAATAAGCAATTCTAAAAATATCGATCCGAAACGATTTGCGAATCTGTGTGGCACAACTCTGTAGTTGTTGTTAACTGCAAATCAGCAGGAAACCGTAATTTGATTTGATCGACTAAGTCGATCGATCAGTCAGTATCGATTTTCCACGATCTCAAAAATATTATTGAAAAAAATAAGAAGGAGTCTGGGATTTAACCCACCACCTTCTCATCAGTAAGCAAAAACGGTCGCTTCGAGCTCCTTCCATCAAAATCAATCACTACGAACGACGATCGTCTAAACTGGGCTACATGAACCTTGTAATCTAATTGATAGATGTGAAGGGCAAGTAAATTACTGGTCGTGTTAAGAAAGAGAAGTAGAAAAAAACCCTTTAAAAATCGATGCGACCCTCGCTACTATGTAATAGAGCTCAGTAAACAAAAACGACCACCACTAGGCCCCCGAGCCCCTAATATCACTACAGGCAACTGCGACCTTTGTGAACACTTTGATCTTAAATTGGTATCACCATTTAAATTCAGTGACAACGGGGCCAAAAGGCTAGCAATTTAATTGTTTGTATTCACGAGGGGTAAACCAAATGATTGGTTTAATATTTTATATGTATGACTTCAGCATATTATTTTATATTAGGAAAATAGTGACACGTCAGGAACATTTTCATGTAATATACAAAATTTAATTAATGAAAATAATTTGGCTTTTATTTTTGTAATATTCGCGCCCCTCGATTGTAATTGGATGATTGTTGCTGACCTTTTTGAACGCTAGATAGTTCATAAGTCAAAGTCATAAGTTCAAAGTCAATTTCATCCATACTAGTCCTAAGCGATGTGTCGGTAAAACCATGAGGATTCATGAATCGAAACTTTATGTGTCGGTATACACTAATGGAACAACAGGAAATGTGTTTACCTTTGCTACTACGATGTTTTTTAACCTAATGTTCCGTAGAGTTTTACAGTATCACATGGCGATATTTTACTGTGCCACTTGTACCATAGATATCGAATCGGGTTCAAAGAAATGAATAAGTTTGAAACGGCCATTAGAAACAAGTTCCTTGGAGCCTGGAGCGTCACATGCAAAAGTATTGCGAAATGTTACAAAGCGATTTATCGATAAAACACAAGCATTGCATGATATTAAGACGACTTAATAAAGCTGAAACTCAATTACAAAAAAAATACTCCACTCAATGTAATACGATTCCCTAATCCAACTCATCCTCTGACTCATCTCAATGAAAACGCAATTTCTGCTTTACCCAAAACCACAACAATCAAGCAATAATCGTTTAATCATCTCCCGCGTCTCTCCATCGAAACTGTCACAAAGAGAAAAAGGTACACGCGTAAATACAATTCACGCCAAAATTGAATTTAATGCCATAATCCAACAATGGTGTGATTTATTGATTCGCGATAGTCGCATTTGCGTTCGTCGAAAGCGCCGATGGTCGTTTCCCGGACGTAAATTGCTATATGTCTCGTGTTCGTGTCCCTCCATTCCATACTGGTCCATCCAATAACGAGTGTCGCTTGAATGGGCAAGAATGACAACCATTTTCGCGCCTCTATCGCATCATACCCGCCTCGCAGCTGTGTTGTGTAGGTGGCGCAGCGCTCAAATAACAACAACGATAATGCTACTAACAATAACTAACTGATTCAGGTGGTTTATGATTACTCTTTCACGCACCGTCTTATGTGATTGAGCTTCTTGCCCGACCGCCGTGCGGCTGTGTGTGTGTGTCGGTCTGGCAGGCAAGTTTTCTACTTCACAAATTGCTACGATTTTCTGTCGTTTGCATTCATTTTGCGCGCGCTCCAGAGACTCAGCCGGGCAAGAAGAAATTAATTGAATGTATACAATATGTTTATTCTAAAGACGGGATATGATCTCATCCACCATCATCAACCAGCATGTAGGTACCTACGCGGACGGAATCGGACGGGAATGGTTTGGTCTGTACTTGAAGCGATTCCGCTTCACACGGGGCTGGAATTATAATAATCGAACTTCAAGAGGCAATCTAAAGGGTAGAGTTTGCTCATAAAATTATCTTTTTAGCGCACGAATATAAATCTATATCGGACGATACTCAGCCTTGCCGAGATAAAAACGTCAGATCCAATTGGAGCGAATGAAATGAAACAGAATATCTTAATTCGCACCTCCTCTGCATTCCATCATGATTCGAAACGTGCCACAATTCAAAATCAATCATCCACGGCAATACGCGACTGCGACTTACCTTTCACTACCGGAGGGGTAAAACAAGATCTTAAAAATGGTCCCGGCTCAGCATTGATGTGATCTGTAATGAAAACGAGCAAAGGGAGAAAAAGGATACAAAATTAATAAATCAGATTTATATTTACGCACAGCAAGAAAAAAAAATTACAAAAAGTGCCAAGTAAGTCAAGCCATATCGGAAAGCTTCTCTGTCCCGGGTACTAATTTTCGGTGACCAATTTGGGCGAACGCGGGTAACCGCAACCCAAAAAAAAAAAATAAGACGACAAAACCAGTCACCGTAATCGGTAACCTTTAACACCTTCATTAAAACCGACCCGATATCACCGAAAAGGCTCAAAACGAGAAAGGAACATTCGTCCCGGTTTGCAAGAATGTACAGACCCAGATCAAAACCAGTGCGGCACTGCGAATGCGACAACGGTGTGACGACGGAAAAAGGTAATCATCTACAAAGTAATACTTCTTATGCATGGTCACCGCATATGTTCGATTGATTGGTCGTAAAAAATGTGTTTCTGAACCGTGTTTCTGAGTAGGAATTTATTGTTTTCATATAAATAGCATATAGTTTACATGTGATATAAGGGTACTTTACTTAGAACAAACACAATACTTTTTTTCTTATTTGTATTATAGTCACATTAGGAGGCATGGATGGTAACCACTATGCCGTGTCCATCCTCTGACGCAACATTTAATTTACTTAACTATATACATTTTACATGATTATTTATCCAAGACTCAACGATTATCCCGAAAATCGTGTGGTGACTAAATAGTGATAAAAATCTATAATATATCGATGAGTACAGTAGAAGACCCATATAGACATAGACACAGACATAGATTTTCGGTTCCTGCCAGTGATGCCACATATACAGATTTGTCTGTAATCATACAGATTTTTTTTGCATTATTTTGATACAGATATCTGTAAATACATACCTATTACAGATTTTTGAAAAAATATACAGATTTTTCAGATTTTTATAGTAAAGGGAATGTATTTTACGTTATTTTTTTATATTTATTAATTTCGATAAATAATTGTTTCTTTCTTTTGAGCAGCTTGCATTCAATCTGAACATCAAACCCAAATCGAATTTTTCACTAAATTAATTATTATTGTTTTAGCTTCGAATGGACTTGTAATCTTTCGAATGGACCTCTGATGAAGAGCTTTGAGTGTGTTAGTTTATTTCCTTTAAATTCCGTTATAATTGCTTATCTTTTGTCTACTACTTGCAGACTTCATCAGTACCAAGTACTCAACTGAGTGGTACTGCGTGGTGTTGAGTACTTGGCACTGATGAAGTCTGCAAGTAGTAGACAAAAGATAAGCAATTATAACGGAATTTAGAGGAAATAAACCAACACACTCAAAGCTCTTCATAAAGGGATTCCGTTAAAAGGTTCGACAAATTTTAAAAGATTGGACCTCTGATGTTGAGGTGTTCTTATTTCTCGTTTTTTTTTTCCTTTGGTTTGTTTTTTCCGTCGATCTTGTTTTCCGTGCTGAGCACCAATGCTACCGACGTGTCAGGAATGCAGCTCCCACACCTGGACCCTACCTATCGACCCATCAACTCATGAACCGGGGACCAACGGCTTTACTTCCCATCCGAAGGAAGGCGTGATCAGAGATGTTATGCATCAGAACATCCCGGCGGCGCCGACTGGGATTGCTTATTTCTCGTTGAAGGGATATTAGTTTCCCTTTCTATTTGTTTAACTAACCATGTCACATGGTGACAGATACGAAGGTTAATTAAATATATGTTTTGTTAAATCGGTACACAAGCCATTTTAGAAAAATCACAAAGTTGTTGATTACAAATTGTGAGTCATCTTTATATTTTTATATATGAAAAGGGTAATTGCAGAAATAATTAATATTGCATGTAATTTGACAGTAAAAGTTCTGTGTTATGTCCAATTTCCATATAAAGGCTTTCGGTATCTCAGAAATAAAAAACACAAATTCAAGACTTTAACAGAGATACCAAACACTAAAAAGTCTAGATTGTAGGATTTTTAAAATAGAAAAACTCTTTAGAAAGCAAACTTTAGTCATATTTCATGATTCTAAACATTGAACAAATACCTTCTGAACTATGAATTTTCTCAATGGAGATTTACGTAGATCCGCACTGAGACCATATTACAGAAGTTATACAGATTTTTACAGATTTTTGTTTACAGATTAAAAATATTTTTTAGGATGATCCCTGCACGACACTCGATTCAAAAAAATTCCCATATTGTGGGGTATTTGACAGTATTTCCCGGAAGCCGCCATCTTTTATTTCAAAATAGCGTCAGATATCGATTTCCGGTTCCTATACCTCGCCCAGATTACAAAAATCCATACTGTGGGAATTTGACAGTATTTAACAGTTTTTTTTTTATAACTGAAGCCGCCATCTTGCATTTACAGTCACTACACGTCATCCCGATTCCAAAAATACCCATATTGTGGGGTTTTTGACAGTATTTCACAGTTTTTCTGTAATCGGATGCCGCCATCTTTGATTTCAAAATGGCGTCAGACATTGATTTCTGGATAGCCGGCGCCGGTGTTGTAGTGTTAAGCGTGACTGCTTTCTCACCCCCTGGGTTTGGGTTCAATCCCAGTCGAGATCGATGGGATTTTTCAGGAGCATACAAACCTCTGGTCACGTCTTCCTTCGGAAGGGAAGTAAAGTCGTTGGTCGCGGCCCATGTTTGTTTGAATGGGTGCGATATCCTACGCAGGTGTGGAAGCTGCCTTCCTGCACATTTGATTGCCGTCAATGGATGGCAATCGATGTCCGACGGAGATTGGCTAGATTGCGGAACAGAGACCGACGTTAAATAAAAGAATGAAGAAGATTTATTTCCGGTCCCTATAAGTCACCCTGATTCCAGAAATACCCATATTGTGGGGTATTTGACAGAACTTCCCAGCTTCGCATAATCGAAAAAAAAGCTCGTTATTTGGAAGTTCCTTCGTTAAGGAAACCTCGTTATTTGGGGTTAACTTCGTAACAAAAAATTAAGTAAACTGTATACTGCGTAAAGAAACACTCGTAAACGGACGAGTATTTCTTTACGCAGTATACAATTTGCTTAATTGTTTGTTACGAAGTTATTCCCAAATAACGAGGTTTTCTTAACGAAGGAAGTTCCAAATAACGAGCTTTTTTGCGATTATGCGAAACTGGGAAATTCTGTCAAATACACTCAGGTCTTTTTTTTACACGGGGGATACGGTCCGTGTAAAAAAAAACCGTGTAAAAAAAACCTACGAGATTTTGATTTTTCACATGCTTTAATGTTTTAAAAAATCGGATTTTGATGCCATTTGTAATTAAAGCATGATATGGTCCATATAGACATATTTTAAAAATTTCTGTATTTACACCAAAAATTGTGATTTTTTTTTAAGTATGCCATTCGATTACAAATAGCTTGAAACGGATAATGTGATTGGAATCAAGTCGATAGGTTGTATCGTTGTCTAGAAATCGTTAAAAACGTACCGTGTAAATCGTGGAAAACCGTGTAAAAAACCGTGTAAAAAAAACCGCGTAAAAAAACCGTGTAAAAAAAGACTTCAGTGTACCCTACAATATGGGTATTTTTGGAATGATGTAAACAGATGTAATCAGTTGAAAACAGATTGAAAAAAAAAACAGTATAGAGTGGTCACGCGGTAAATGCCCTTCGGTCATTTTGCCTTTACAATATCTGTTGACAGTTTGCCACGAGTTTACAGCAAACGATATTTTTACCGAAAAAATCATAACATAAACTAACACCCAGTCAAAGAGCTGTCAAACTGTTAGCATCACAGTCGCAAGTATTTTTGCATTCGTATACCACCGGTCAAACCGCAGGAGGAGGAAGAGGTAAAAAAAACTACAGATAAATAAAATTATGTAGGTAAGGACACTGGTTATATTTAATAAATGACATTTGGAAAAGAGTCTGGCGATTTTATCTTTATTATTATCTTTATTATTCGTATACGATCTTTTACAGAAGCTGGAAGCTCATTTAGTGAAAACAAATTCAATCTACTGAATTTAATAGTTCAATCAGCAAAATGCTGCCAGATGTCAGAATTTTGAATTGCTGAAAGATCAATAAAGAAAAATTGCTGGTTTTCAGTAAAAGGTTGCCATTTTGACAGAAGTTGTAATTGCTGAAAAAAATCAGTAGCATTACTTTGCTGGAACGTTTGCTGATCTTTCATCAAGTCTAAAATAGTAAAATCAGCAAAATTTTGCTGATTTTCAGCGATTTAAATTTGGTGTGAACCGTCGTCTCTTTTACACAACACAAACGGTAGAACAACATTCAAGCAAACAGAAAATTTTCAAATAACTATCATATGACATGTGTGATTTCGTTCTAATTCCTCAATTTGGTGTAAATTAAACCATTTCAAGCACAAGCAGCTCTTATTATGAGAAAAACTAAAATCTAGATAGAGCTGTAATTTGGGCGTAACAGCTTTTGTAAACAATGACTTCTATCGTTGATTTCTAGGAATTCAAGGCACGTCCACGCAGACCATCCTAACCATCGGATAGGGGAAGTCTTTCCCTACCCGATGAGGATGTTGGTTTGCGTTGGCGAGCTTTGAATTTCTAGATATCATCAAGAGAAGTCATTGTTTACAAAAGCTGTTAGGCCCTAATTCCAGCTCTATCTAGAAATACATACATTTGTGACGGTCTTCGCAACAGTGTCGTATGATAGAGCCTGTCATATGAAATTTTAGTTTGGTACTGTAATTTTGCAAGTGTCGGAAGCAACGGCAGTCGATTATCACAGAAAATATGTCGACTACGGTGACCACTTACAAGACTGGGAGGAAGCAGCGCATAGAAAAAAGAGGGAATACACAAACCTTTCCTCTCAGGATGTAATATTGCTATCAAATTCGTTCGAATCATTTACCTTCGAGCGGCAGATGACGCGATTGTACCTGTCGCATAGCGCTCGTATGATAAAATGGAAGAGTTGCCAGTCTTCTTGATATGTTGTTTTCGGTTAAAGGCTTGGGTTTGC